AGCAGCATTAGCAGCAGCTGCTGCAGCACCTGCAGCAGCAGCAACTGCAGCAGCAACTACAGCAGCAGCAGCTGCAGCAGCGAAGCAAAACCCCCTTCATGCGTCAGCACCCTCAGCGGGGAGACAGAAAACAAGCCCGAGAAGTCTGAGTCTAAGAGGAGAGATTCTTGTGCTGCTGCAGCTGCCTGCTGCTGCTGCTGCTGCTGCTGCTGCTGCTGCTCCCCTGTGTCTGCATGCATGCCGCCGCACAGCAGCAGCAACGCCTGTCTTCCTGCTGCCCACATCAACAGACACAATCGAGCTGCACTGCAGCAGCAAACCACGAACTTCTCTGCTGCTCAGCGCATGCAACTGCTGCTGCTGCTGCTGCTGCTGCTGCTGCTGTTGCTGCTGCTGCTGCTGCTGCTGCTGCTGGGCGGGATTCCTTGCATGCTTAGTCTCGCGGCGAGGACGGTGAAACGCACCCTGGAACTCTTCATGCTGCTGCTGCTGCTGCTGCTGTTGCTGTTGCTGCTGAGTTGCGCCTGCAGGGTTAAACCACTCCACTGGCGGGGCACCCCATGGGCTGCGTGCGGCGCAGGCAGTCACAGCTGTTGCTGCTGCTGCTGCTGTTTGTGCTGCTACTGCTGCTGCTGCTGTTTGTGCTGCTGCTGCAGCTGCTGCTGCATCTATGGGAGAAGATAAGCGAAAGCCGCAGCAGCAGCAGCAGCAGCAAATTAAAATAGATGTGAGCAGAAACCACCACAGGCAGCAGACACGCATTGGGGGGCAGGCATCATTGGGCTGTACAGGCACATGCTCGATGCAGTGTGTTGCTGCTGGTGCTGGTGCTGCTGCTGCTGCTGCTGCTGCTGCTGCTGGTGTTGGTGTCTGAGAATGCAGAGCTGTTCTGCTGCGGTTGCTGTTGCTGTTGCTGCTGCTACTGCAGCTGCAGTAGCTGCTGCAACTGTTGCTGCAGCTGTTGCTGCAGCTCTTGCTGCTGCTGCTGCTGCTGCTGCTGCTGCTGCTGCTGCTGCTGCTGCTCGCCAGTGGCCCCAGTTAGTGCCGCCGGGTTAAATCTTCTCCTCCTTTAAAATATTTCAAAGAAAATAAAAAATTAAATTTAAATATTTTGCTGCTGAGTTCAGACATTTGATCTGGGCCGCTGCAGCGAGCTGCAGCAGCAGCAGCAGCAGCAGCAGCAGCAGCAGCAGCTGAACTGCAGCAGCAGCTCAACGTTTTGCTGCAGCAGAGTTAAATGGAGTTTTTTATTAAAAATTAATTTAAAAAAGAAAAATATATATATATAAATATAAGAGAATAAACTACACCTGCTGCTGCAGCAGCAACTAAGGTCTGGGGGGCCCCCCTGCCTCGATCGCTGCTGGCTGCTGCGGCTCCTCTTGGGGGCCCCCCCGCCCCTACACTTTCTTTTGTTTTTTTGTTTTATTTTATTTGTTTAAATAATTTAATTTATAACATTTCGGGTGTACATACACCGCAGCAGCAACACGGGTTGCGTCACACAGAGAAGGAGAGACCCTGTCTCTTAGGGGGCCCCAAGCAGCAGCAGCAGCAGCAGCAGCAGCAGCTGGGGGCCCCCTAGGGGCCCTTCTCTGTATTTCTTCTGTCTCCTCTTTTATATGGGGGTAGCTAGCTGCTGTATCTGTTCTTAAGGCATTATAACTGTGCTGCAGCAGCAGTCAACAGCAGCAGCAGCAACAGCAGCAGCAGCAGCAGCAGCAGCAGCAGCCGCAGCAGCAAGAGGGTCCTGCACACCAGAATGAGCAGCAACTGCTGCAGCAGCAGCAGCTGACCTTCAGCAGCAGAAGCTTCAAGGTAAACAAACGCAGAGAAGGGCAGTGGGGGGCCCCTGCTGCTGCCTGCCTGGGGGCCCCCCTTCTTCTCTCTTACACTCATCTGGGGCCCCCGTAGCTGCTGCAGTCAATCGGAACACCTCACACCTCTCTCTCTTTCTTTTTTTTTTTCTCTCTCTCTCTTTCCCTCTCTTTCTCTCTCTTTCTCTCTTTCTTTCTTTCTCTTTCTCTCTCTCTCTGTTTCTCTCTCTTTCTCTTTCTCTCTGTTTCTCTCTCTTTCTCTTTCTCTTTCTTTCTCTTTCTCTCTCTTTCTTTCTTTCTCTCTTTCTTTCTCTCTTTCTTCATTTCTTCAGCTCGCATGCAGCCGAAGCCAAACGCAGCTCCCTCGGGGGCCCCCCCCATATCAGGTCATAAACCTTCGGGGGACCCGGGGGACCCGGGGGCCCCCGCAGAGACCCCTCTGGGGGCCCCTCAAGAGGCCCCCCTTGGGGCCCCCCAGGGGGCCCCTACAGAGGCCCCTGAGGGGGCCCCCGTGGGGCCCCCTCAGGCAGCCCCTGGGGGCCCCCCGTACACCGAGGGCCCCGTAGAAGCCCCTATGGGGGCCCCCCTGGGGGCCCCTACGGGGGACCCTATGGGGGACCCTATGGGGGCCCCCCTGGGGGCCCCTACGGGGGACCCTATGGGGGCCCCTACGGGGGCCCCTACGGGGGACCCTATGGGGGCCCCTACGGGGGACCCCCAGGGGGCCCCTATGGGGGCCCCTATGGGGGCCCCCCTGGGGGCCCCCTTGCCTCGTTTGGTGGTGCGTCCGCGGTGTCGTGGTGAGCTGCTGTACCCTTTTGGCCGTTCTCGCAAAGTGAAGGAATATTTATTTCTGAAAGGAATTCAAAAAGAAAGAAAAACAGCAGCAGATATACAGAGGGGGGCCCTTGTTGAGCCTCAGTCTGAGGGTATGGGGGCCCCTTGGGGGGCCCCCATGGGGGCCCCCATGGGGGCCCCAAAGGATTCTACAGGGGGCCCCCATGAGGGTTCAGATAATATGAAAGAGCAGAGAGAGACAGGAAACGATAGAGCTGCAT